TCTCTTTACCACAAAAAAACGATAAAGAGACTGCAGGGACACAAATATAGTCCTGAAAAAAAATCCTAAACATGGTCATACTTTTAAGTGCCTACTGTCACCGAGTAGGGCTACAGTCAGCTGCCTAGTGAAAGCTGTAGGTAATGGAGCGACAGCTACTTCACATACTGTGACACTGCCCTTTGTGGCAGTAGACCGTGAAAATGTATAAACATGCAATTCTTTGCTTTGACGTTATAGATTACACAAAACTGTGTCACAGTTGGTGGACGCAGTTCAGTAGAGATAAAATAACTGCTGCTTAAAATGACTCCAGTCGTGATTTAAAGAGCTCTTTGAACACCATCAGTCAAGTGCAATTAAGTTGCAGTATAATCAAGAAAAGGTAGAAATCAATGCAGCTCATATCTCCAAAACCAGGCAAGACACGCCAAAAATAATATAAAGGGAAAAACAGCACTCCATACTCCAGGAATCTACATACATCTGACTTTTGGGTGAACTGTCCCTTTAAGTGTCTGTTTCTTCATGAAAGAGACTAAGAAAGGGAGGAAGAATAAAGAAAAAAATTATTGCCGGGCAGCCCACACTGCCAGGCCAGGCCAGCCCAGCTGTGAAAACCTCCAACCACATGAGAAAAAGTAAAAGATTCCTTAGAGTCCCATTCCTGCACTTATTGAATTTTTACAACCTGGTGTGCTTCCAGGCACTTGGCTCCAAAAACACTTTTCGTGCCACTGCCACTCTGCGGTCCAGAAAAACAGAAAAGAGAGACAATGAGCAAGACGGCTGGCTGAATCATCCTCCTCACCCACACACTGGCCTTCATCTCCCCTGTGTCAATGACAGACCCACCTGTAGCCCTGTGGCTACTTGCTGAAGCAGAACAAAGGTGTTATAGACCTCCACTGTAAACAGGTGGGAATAAAGATCTGTGATACCTCTGATGACACAGCTGAGCCAACAATGAGTTCCATTCAAGCCGCCACCACGAACTGTTGAATCATAATCAGATTGTATATAAGAGGTAGCCACACACGTCACCCTCTTTGCAGCCAGAAGTTACCGTATCTGAGAAGGTGTGGAGTACCAAGTTATCAGATAACATTAGCACGGTTGGTTATAAAGATGCATCACAAACTTTATGGCTGAAACACAGACATACACTGGCTAAGAAAATAAAACAATTTCACTTTACCAATCTGAGGCACTAACTACCCTACCTCACCTTATCTTAAAGCAGCCAAGAATCTAATTTAAGCCCAACAGGATCCAGACTAATAAGTTAGCTGCCATATATCAGACTGTCAACATGCTTTGTAATGCTTTAAACATATTCTTTTTAACAATTAAGTCTTCATCGTGTAGCACTCAGTTTTGTTTGTCTGTCTGTCTGTTTGTTAGCAGTCTAACGTTCAGAGTCGCCAAGATATCATTTTCAATCACTTCTGTATGATGGTTGGTAGGGCTGTGCAATATGACCAAAATCTCATATCCCGATATAAGACAACAATATAAATCACAAAAGTTTAACATCTTTCTGTAAATTCTGAGAATCTCGGGCAGCTCGACTTGAGTTTAGTGTTTCCAGCTGGGCGTCGTTTAACTATACATTTTTAGACATAAGTTGTAACAGCCGCCGTTTTCTTTGTATTTATTACACGGCATGCTGTGGGGAAAAGCCTGTTTATTTATTTTTTAGTACCTGACAGCTCTTTTTTGCTTCTCATTCGTAAACACTCGGCATACTCACTCACATGATTTTAGTTTATTTTGAAAAGCCTCAACATGATCTTTTCAAAATAAGAGCTTTATTGTGAAAGGTTTACGTGGAAAATAAACAAGCGCACATTTTTGCTAACGACAACACGTAAAAACAGGCGCTTGTCCGTCCGTAGTGTGGTTATATTAAATATAAGAGAAAGAGAGAACTTTAAGAGACTAATATAGCCACTACAATGACCATCAAAATTATGAAAAAATATTGCTGTAAACAGTTTATTTTGCAACACCACGAAACAAACGATAGCATGATAGGAAACAATAGGTGTTTTTATATCGTCATTCGATATATATCATTATATATATAATTTAATCTTGGTGAAAATCAGTCATGTCAAATATTATTGTTAACCAAATAATAATACCTGCAATTTTTTATGGATTACCTTCAAACTTCAAAACAATATACTAGGCCTCGGGGGACATGAGTATGTAGGTTGGCTAAGCATTTGACCTTGACCTTCACTGTTAGCGCCCGAGGTCAAAGTTGACCTTGAAAAAAATGTAAAGAAACCATATCGAGTAATCCATGGAGAGAGCTGTACAACACATTTTAATTTTTCAATACCTCGCCCTATGATGTCACAGTGTGACGCCATAACAGGCTGATGTCAGTAATAAAAAAAAAACCCATCATAAAACATCAAAGTTTTAGAATAACCCTCGCGTTTTTGTTTTTTAAGCTTTAACGTCTAAAAGATATAAAACCTAAAACTGATTATATCAGACAGCGAATAACTGGCCGATCTGCACCGAGGCCCAGGGTAAGATAAAGTAGGACTTTGGAATAATGAATGATGCAAAGCTAGAATAAAAACACAGAGCTAAAAATTAGCATAATAGATCAACTTCAGGCAGCAATAGATGGCTTGTTTCAGATAGTGGATGAATTGAGTAACCGTGTGTAAGATAAATAAGGGCTACTTTTAAACGGTAAGTCATTCAAAGCTGGGGTGGTTGAATCCAAGAATTAAAAAGAATGGAGTCTGAACTTTAAGCAGCCTTATTTTTTTTGTGACTGTAAACCTGAGTGAAAATGTGAACACCAAATGTTTTGTGAGTGTTGTATGAGTGGTGGGTTTTGTTTTTTTTATTTTGTTAGACCGCTAACACAGTACTATTATGTCTGCTTATTATGATGGCAGTTAAATGATTACCATGTGGAAAGCGTTCTGCCACATCCAGCAACCTAATGGAAGTTTGGTAGATCCTGTTCAGATTCATGTGCAGATAAAAAGTTGGTGTACTGCCCTGCTTGCGTGCTTAAGCTCTGAGGGTACAAATGGCAAACTGTTGCATCACCCCAGACTCTGATGCAGCAGAAAGGCAGAGAAAGCACAGCAGACACGACTCCTTTACTGTAAGTCGGCTGTTTATCTTGTTAATGAAAGTGATGTGTGCAGGACTCAAAGGAAAATTCCTGAGCGGATGTCATGAAGCAATCTGCAAAACCCCTCCAAAGGTGACCCAAATCCCGTCACGGCAAGATGATACAACGGCTGAGACAAAATAATTCAAACTGAAGTGGTTGTGTCTGGAGCTTTCCCCGAACTTTAGAGAGCATTAAGCACAGCTGTCAACAAAGAGGGATTTGGTAAAGAACAGGCAGTTGAAGGATCTTGTAAGAGTACAGAACAAACATGGTGGAATGTCAACAACTGCACAGAAGAGCAAGCTGCAGAAAAGCCACACTATAATCTGTCCCATTCAAAAGACATGTGTTCAAAAAACCACATGCGACGTGTTTGTTTTCACATACTGTACATGGCCCAAAAGAAGGAACATAAACAACAGGCAAATACTTCAACCACTTATACACGAGTACACCACACCATTATACTTCTGAAAACAGTACCAATATGTAAATAAACATCATCTCCTAAATCATTTAATGAACTCAGAACATTTCTAAATAACATGGGGGAAAAAAGGCTGACATGTTTAAATGAAGAGATTCACTTTCAGAATGCAAGAAAATCTAATGTTTTGTAGCCTTGTTGCTTCATTTCCTGCTGCTACAACAATAATTCACTTATGTGCAATATGCTATGCAATTTTTTCCATGCATTAGACACTGTTTACTCCCAGTGTTGGAATGAATACTAATGTGGCTTCCTCGGTTGTCCCAGTTGCGTCCAACCAGCAATATATTCATTTTTCTTTTTGCAGAGGACTGACAGCAGAACACAAACAGTGTTGTGGCTTCAGATAACATTTTTCTAGTGAAAAGACTCAAAAAGCAGCAACTTAATGCTAATTGCTGGATGTTTGCCTATTTCCTAATGTTAGCAGGTAAGCTAACAATAGCCAGAGTTGGACAGGCACCAAACCTGGGACTACTAACACAAACTTGGTGTCTCTGTGATTTGGTTGCAAGTTGCTCTTAATTTGAAGAAACATCCAAGAAAGATGTTGATACAAAGAAACATCCCTTTGTATCAACATAAAAAGGGCCAGGTCTATTTTCTGTCAATAAAATCTGCATCAAGCCACATTGCAGACATCCACAGCACAGAGAATCAGGTAAATTTTCATGATTTTAAGTCACATGCTGACCTATATGCTCTACTTCTCCTGTCATTTGAGGGTCAAAACACAACCGAAAAAACGTGACACCACAGGCACACTGAAGTCTTCTGAGGTAATAGGACAAATGCATTTAACATATGCTTTAACATAAGCTATCCTATTATTATAAAGGATTATAAAGGGGATTTCATAATTATCGTCACCCCTTATAAAATTAAAGAACCACTGAACTGAACAAATATTTTACTAAATTTTTTCAACTAATTGATTTTAGGTCTGCTGGTTAACATTTCTTCTTCACTACGTCTCACAAACACAAAAAAATGCAGGGCAGCCATCCCATAATGGACTCTTCTGACACTGTTCATCCCATAATTAATGGCTTTGCTCTTCAACTGTGATATAAAAACAAAATTACACAGAAATTAAGTCAAAAAAGAGGTTTTACAAAATCTTCACTAACATTAAACATCAGAGCTGAGAGAGTCGGAGAAGCAGCACGAGTTCCTTCACCTTCTCGATGTGGCTTGAGTGACTGATCAGTAATGTTTAGGAGGCAGCCCAAGCAAATTAATTACCACCTACGATAACCTTTTTCCACTAATATATAACCAAAAGCACTGAACTTCCAATGTTTCCAAACATCCCTTTTAATCAAACAAAGAAGGAACAAAAGAACCTGCTCTTACCGTGCCGCTCACCCTGACGTCATAAAGTCGTCCCCAGTCGTCCTCGTGGCTGTCAACCATCATCATACTATCATCCTCCTCCAGGAACCACTCAGCTTGCAGGTCGACCTTCACCTCCTCCCCCATAGAGTGCATCCCCACAGCGGGGAACAGTCCCTCTGCCGACACGGGAACCTCTACTGAACCCACCTGGAGAGAAAGCGGGTGTAAAAATCCTGAATAAACAACCCTGCGTGCCCATTTGAAATGAGCGTGTTATTATTAAAACAAAAATACCTACCTCTTTCCCGTTTTTGGTGAAAAAGACTGTTGTGATACCTGCTTCTATATTTTCTGAGTGTATTCCACAGCCAATGCGGTCACCACGAGCACATTTCGGGCCAAACTGCTGCCCTACCGGGTTGCCATTATACAACCTAAATGGAAAGAGGAGATAAAAATCCTTTTAAGAAAAGTCCAAGCTTCTTTGAACTACAACCGCATACTTTGTAATCTTGTACAGCTTTCACTACGCAAACCTTGTGTTGCCACAGCTGTCGCGCTCTACCACAAAACAAGTAAAAGAATGCAAAAATTATTTCAAATATTCAGTAAACGCAGCCAGACAAGACGAAACGTTCCATTATCTCACTTAACATGAAAGGAAATTAAAAATATGTAAACACAATTACTTTGAAGCGCATAATTACAGCTCACTTTGGCTTGATAATTGGCCACACATCTGTCTGGTGCTGAAATTTGGTATCATCAAGTGAAATTAGATGCTGACATATGAATCAGTTCCTGAGGCAGAATGTATTGCTTTGAAAAGTAAGTCACGTGTATAAATCCAACACACAGTATTCATAGGACGAAGCAAGCAAAACTGGAAGGTAAAATATTTAACCGATCACGCTCCCTCATCACAAGAACCTGCTGCTTATTTACTTGTTCATCAAACAAAAAGAAAAAAAGTAACCTTAAACCTCTGTTAAATTTCCTTTTTGCTACTATTAAAATAGTCACACAAAACAAAATATCAACAAACCAAGAAATGAGGAAATAAGCAAGTTAACACTACCGAACCAATATATAAATGCAGCAGCCAAACCATGCCAGAAACCACCACTGCCCTGTAGCGTATAGGCAACTCCAGTTTGACTTACTTGCCGTTGTCAGCGTGATAAGCTACAGAGTATGGCAGCCAGCCCGGCTGGTGGTCCAGCCTGTAGAATTTAGGCACCAGGCCCACAGCAATGGTCCCTCTCACTCCTGTGTCCACTATGGTCACCTACACAAAGACACACACATTATATTGAAAACACACTACAGTGGCATCAGTTACAGTTCATTTAAGCCACAGTACCAATAAGGCCTAAAACATCGATAAAAGTCAGTGTCTAATGCCAGAAGCAAGGGTAAGGGTATAATATTCAGATATAAAATCCACAGCCTGAACTAAGTGTATCCAGGTCATTTACAATCACATTAAATTAATTCAGTGCCACCACGTCTCCTGGTGGTCTGCAGTGTCTGTTGGCAGAGGTATTTGGCTATGCAGAGCAAAGAACTATTAGTACGAACCCAATGCAGATGGTGTTTGCACGCTGTCCTCCAAATGACAAAACACATAAACCGACAGCGATTACACTACAAGTAACTTGCTGTGTTGCATTGGGATATTATATTCCATATACTCTCAAAAAATACAAAGGTACTTTCATATGCTCCCTATTTTCCCAAGGGATCAGCACCGTGGATGGACCACATGTTTGATTTGGCACAGATTTTACACCGGATGCCCTTCCTGATGCAACCATCCCATTTAGCCAGCCTTGGGACTGGCACTAGGGACCAGCTACGTTTGTGTCTCGAACCGGGGATTTAGCAAGAATAACTAGCTTGAAGTAATTGTTTCCTGTATGACTTTATCAGTCTCTCACATCTTTGTTAAGGAATTTTGTCCTTTAAATGTCATTGAGGTTTGTGGGCATCCATTTATGCAGAGCTATCTTAAGGTCCCACCACAGCATTTCAATCGTGTTGAGGTCTGGACTTGGAGCCATTGCAAAAGCTTGGCTCTTCATTTTTCAGTTTATCACATTCACCCCACATCACCCAATCATGACCCAACTTTGCAAACGTAAACCATGCTGCCATGACCTTGTTAGATAGAAGAGGCTTTCTCCTTGCAATCCTTCCAAACAAACCATACTTGTTCAGTCTTTTTCAGTCACAAGCTTCAACACTTAACGTTGTTTACACCATAACAGCCATAGCCAGCTGCTTTTCGTTTCCCCCACAATGGCCGTTGACATTTTCTACTGTTACTGTTTGTGTATAAAACACTTCTGTACACACTATACCTCAGCACTTCTGAATATCAACACTTCACAAAAATTCAGGTTAATTGCAATATTTTTTTGGTTTTTTTTGTTTTTTTGGGGGGGGGGTTTACACCCAATTCACCTCATATGCTCTGGCTGGCATTCATCAGTAGCAAATGCATCCTGCCGGTCTGCAGTTTACCTGAACTTTTCTCTCGGTAAACATTTTTGTGTTTTTGCCAATGTTAGCCACTGTTAACTGGTGTTACTGAAGCTTTCTTTGAATTCTTTCGATCTAACATTGTCAGGCTCAAGCATAGCAAATAAGCTCTATTTCGAAATGAGAATGTAATGAAGCTGTTTATCAAAACAGTGTGATGTTTAAACACTCGAGCCTAACATTAGCTAGCATAATGTTAGCCAGCTATAACAACAACAGCTATGTCTGTTATATAGCTTATATATATTCTATGTAGCAGCTATCCATAGACGAGAGAGTCGCATGTCTGTAGGGCTGGGCTATATCATACCGTTCACGGTAATACCGGTGTAATTTTGGGCAACGATAGGAAAATGAAATACTGCGATAGAATACGGGTAAAACACGCATGCGCAGTGCCTTTGTTTACATACGCACATGGCGGCGACGCAGAATGAGAAGAGCGAAAGCGGATCGTTAAATGAAACGGATGAACCAGAATTGGTTTGTAAAAATGCTGCAACTTCAGTGGTGTGGAACTGGTTTGGCTTTTGTCCGTCAGACGCACAACAAAGCACTATTTTTGGTAGAGCATGCTAGCGGGCCGTCGTTATTACCGAGTTGTTTGGAAAATACGGCACACTTAAAATCAATCCTTTGATTTTTCTGAAAATCGACAGTGCCCCTTATAATCCCGTGCGCCTTATGTATGAATTCTGGTTGTGTTTACTG